ATTAATTAATTAATTAGGGCGATCGTTGGAATCCTGACAGCTGCTGTCTATCCAGCATTCACAGGATGGGACGATAAGTGTCTTATTCTGGAGATCAAGGGATCTTTCCTAATTTTTCACACACACACACACACACACAGACACACCTTGGGAAGCGGCTAAGGAGAAGACAGTGGAAACCAGGAGAATCCATCACGGTTGCAGTGATGAAGCGCATTGCTGTGGTGGAGTCGATAGAAGGAAGGCCCCCCACCCCTTTAAAAAAAAAAAATCAACGCTAGTTTTCAAAGAGAAAGAAAAGCAACAGGAAACGAGAGGAAGGAAGCTGGGCAGGAAGTAAACCAGAACCAGGGCCTTTGTTAGAAGGAAAAGCAGGAAGGGCTTTTGTTTCTCGGGCATTTGGTCCCGGGATCTCCCATCCAGTGAGAAAAGCCATCATGCGAAGTCTGAACTTCACTTGCAGGATGCATCAAGCCAGCAGAGAGATTCCTGACATTTCTCAGCCTTGGCTGGAGGCCAATATTTAAGGATAGGGACACCGCAAGCTCTCCGTGCCACAAGAGAACAGCTGCCTCTCAACTACATCTAGAACTAAATGCAAATAACGCGCAGATATATATATTTATATATATTTTAATGCCCTAGCAATGGGAAGCTTGAGTGGTGCGGTGGTCTAGAGGTGGCCTCACAGTCAGGAGGCCGTGAGTTCGATCCTAGGGAGAAGCAAATATTTCTCTCTCTCTGAGCACAATGAGAATATGTCTACTGGAGGGGGGGGAAACTCCGCATCGGCAACAGGAAAGGCATTCGGCCAGTAAACACTCCGCTCCATCCAACTGCCCAGACGCCACCCCGCTGCAAGGGATTACGGGGCCGTTATAAAAGAAGATGAGGGCAGCAATGGGAAGCTCGAACAGCCCAAAACTGCACAGCCCAAAACCAGAACCTTGTGCTGCCTTTGCATCCACATCTCACATCAAGCTGGACTCTCCATCCAAAGGTCATCGTGGCTTTTAAACATTCACAGCCCAAACCAGGGCGTCCGGTTTTGCGAGAACGATGCCGTTCTCACTCATCCCAAAAAATAAATAAAAAAATAGCAGAAATCTCTTCTGGAGGACCATGGGTGGTCTGGAAAGGAGCTATCCTTTGGTGCTTGACCCAACTGGAGAGCTCCATTTGGTGTTGAGGATAACTCTCTCCATCTTGACCTCCCGCAACCTCTGCAGAACCTTTGGTTTTTTGTGTGTGGGGGGGAGACAACCTGGGAGAAGGTAAATATGGCACCCTGGGTGCTACCAAGTTGCTTCTTCAGTTCTGGATGAAGGCTGTCCCAAATTAGGACCTCTAGATTAATAGTGGCTCCACTCAAAGGACATCACTTGCCGAAATGTGTCCCACAGTAGAAAAACACCACAAAACCTGGAGAGCTGCGGAGCAAAGTAACAAGCCGATGTGTTTTTGGTGTCTCTTTGGTGGCCACACCATGCGACTTCTTGAAGCACCGTGTATTTTTTTTTTTTTTTTTTTTTTTTTGAGGAATCCCATCTAGGCATCCTATACCATGTGGTGTAGACAGAAGAACCTTAAAGCGTGGATGGATGAGCTTTCAACATTAGACTCTTGGGGGGGGAAACATGGGATTTTTAACGGCCACTGGCTTTAGACTCACTTCTGGTATGGATCGAGGATCTAAATATTGTTTGCGGGCCTTTTAAAATCATCCGTTGAGCCATTGGGTGTACAATTAACCTATTTAGAATTAGGACTGAATAGAGAGAAATATTACCCAACACAAGGTTTCTATTTAAAAAAAAAAACAAGGCTAAGGACAAAAAATAATCCATATATAACTAGAGGCTAAAGGATGTTGGAACCAGATTTAGAGGAATATCAATTGAGATTTCAGTTCAAAATGCTAAGCCCAAATCTTTTAAGCATCTAGATTTTTCCTATGTATATTTGTATGCATTTTCTTCACTTTGCATAGCTTTTTTTGCTATTCTAATCAAGGGGGGGGGGGGTTAAAAAAGTAAAAAGCCACGTTGGAAGTAAAAAGATTTAAGAACCTTTCCAACCGTTTCTCTCCCACATTGAGGTCTAGCCACTTGCTTTAAGAGAAGTGAAAATAAAGATGCAACTTGCAAGCTTAATATTAACAGTGCATATCAAGCCCCCATTAGCTTTATTAAGCAAATTAGCAGAACAAGGTTTAATTCAGCTTCCAGCTGCCGTGATGACGAGGCAGGGTCCAAACCTCCTTTTATTCCATCCATATTTGTTTTGTTTTGTTTTGTTTTGAAACTTCTTTTTTTTCCCTGTAGTTAAAATCCCACATTTGACCTGCTAACTTTTCAACGTTCACCCCTCAATTTTTATCATAATGTATTGCTACAGCAAAAATGACATGCGTATTATTATTACTATTATTATTATTTTGTTTTACCTGTAACACATTTTTATTTTAATCTACCAATCTCGCTCGGATGTTGTCCTCAGGATAACTAGAGGCTGTTTGGGGAAAATTTGGGGACATTTCTTCCGTGAGCGGAACTGAAAAAACAAAAACAAGGAATAAAACCAGAACCTGGGTGGGAGATTCAGGTGGAGGCATATCTTGAATTTTTTATTTTATTTTATTCCTGTTAAATTCCCTTAAATCTGCTGCACAATCCTGGTGCCCGTCTGATAAACAGGGATGGTTATCTCTATATTCTGCACTGCCAGGGACAATTCAGCCTCTTGAAGCCAAGACACCCCACCTCCAAGTGTGCAACCAGGACAACGATGCAAATTTAAAACATAAATACAAGTACAGGCAGTCCTTGACTTAAAACAGTTCGTTTAGTGACCATTCAAAGTTACAATGGCACTAAAAAATGGGGCTTGGAACCAGTTTTCACACTTAACAACCTTTGGGGCCACTCCAGGATCACGTGAATAAAATCCAGATGCTTGGCAACGGGCTCGTATTTACGACAGTACTAGCATCCCCGGGTTACGCCGTTCCCCCTTTTGTGTCCTCCTGACCAGCCATGGGGAAGCCGGAGTCACTTAACAACCGGGTTACTCACCAAGTGCAGTGATTCGCTTAATGACTAAGGCAAGAAAAGTCGTAAAAACGGGACAAAAAAAAACTCGCTGTGCAGATAATCTCACTTAACAACGGACATTTTGAGCTCCGTTGTGGTCGTATGCCGAGGATGGCCCGTGATCCTCCACATACGACCAGAGTTGGGAGCAGAATTTCCACGGCTGAGCAAAGCAGTCGTTGAGTAAGCCGTGCCTGATTTTACGACTTTTCCCCACAGTTATTATGCAGTCATTAAGTGAATCTGAGTCCGTTAAATGAATCTGGCTCCCCACCACCATTGATTGTGCTGGTTGGAATCCAGCTGGGAAGGTCACCAACAGCCTGGAACGCTACAACGATCCTACATACTGGTTGCCAAGCCCCCAAAGTTTCATCATGTGTCCGTGGAGATGCTACAACGGACGTAAGCGCGAGGAGCGATCCTAAGTCACTTTTTTTCCGGGCTGTTGTAACTTCCAATGGTCTCTCGACAGACGTTGTAAGTTGAGGTCCACCTGTTTTCTTTTTGGGGGGACTAAGGACACTGAGCTTATTGATCAGAAAGGTCAGCAATTCGGCGGTTCGAACCCTCAGCGCCACGTCATGGAGCGAGCTCCCGTTCCTTGTCCCAGCAGGTTCTGCCAACCTAGCAGTTCGAAAGCACGTAAAAAGTGCAAGTAGAAAAACGGGCCACTTTGGTGGGAAGGGAACAGCGTTCCGTGCACCTTCGGAGGCGTTTAGTCATGCCGATCACATGACCACGGAGACGTCTCCGGACAGCGCTGGCTCTTCGGCTTTGTAACGGAGATGAGCACCAGCGTCCCCTAGAGCCGGAAACGACTAGCACGTGGGTGCGAGGGGAACCTTTACCTTTTTAGCTTGGCTGGGTCCTTCTGCTCCCACCAAAAGCCCAGATTCCCTGTTCTACACCTGTAGAACACACCTTTCTCCCTTCTAAAGAAGCGGAGGTGAGATCCACACACCCCTTCCCTCACTGGGATGCTAAGGAAGAAGAGGGCAGTTCCCGTCCAGGTGCCGAGGCGGCTTCACTCCGTTGCTATGGGGCAGGAATGGGGATAGTCAAAATATCTGGCTTTTAACCACCTTGGGCTGAGAGTCCGAATGCAATCGGGGCCTCCTGTGGGGTTCCCACGACACAGCTCTGCTATTGTAACAATCCTTCCGTTGGAATAAATATCGTATTTACCGATCTGAATCATGCCTGGCTGTTCGCTGTGTCTTTGCTTTGCACAGATAATGCGTGGCGGTCTTAACAAACAGAAGGGACTTCGAAGGTCTTCTAGTCCAACCCCTTCCTCAAGCAGGAGATCCTATACCATTTCAGGCAAATGGCAGTCCAGGCCAAAACTTTCCCGTGTTGGATTATCCACAACTTCTGGTGGCAAGCTGCTCCACAGGTGGATTGTTCTCCCTGTTAGGAAAACAGGTTTCATGCGGGGGGGAAAAGGCTGGGGCATTCTGGGAATTGAAGTCCACGTGTCTTAAAACTGACGAGGTTGAGAAATCCTGGCCTAGGAGTTACCCGCTGCCCACAGATCTCAGCAACGGCCGTAGAAAGTGGCACCTAAGCCATCCTGCATCACACACATACAACGTGCCAGGTGTATGTCTATGGCGATTCTCCGTCCTGCAGGTCAATGGATGTCCCAAAGGTGCTCTTTTTTCTCAAGAGGCAACCGGATTTTCATGGGTTTTCTTTGAAGATATTTCGCTTCTCGTCCAAGAAGCTTCTTCAACTCAGAGTGAAGGATTCCATTCCCCACCATCCAGTCTGAACTGAAGAAGCTTCTTGGATGAGAAGCAAAACGTCTTCAAAGAAAAAAAAACAGAAAGTCCAGAAAAAAAAAAGCACCTTAGGGACACTCCAGGCAGAGGTGGGATTCACCAGGT